CTGCACTGAAGACATATTTTATGTTTCTTGGACTCGTTGGTTTTCGTTGAACTTTGAGAGACTTTTGAGCTTTGGATTTCGTTTGAATTTGATCATATCTGGTACTCATAGGATTCTTTACAATTCTTTGAGTTCTGCAATATTCAGGATTTTTTGGATTTATATAAATTCTTCAACTTCTTGACTTTCATTGATTCTTGGAATTTCTTGAGATTTCCAAATTTTTGATATTCTTCGATTCCTTTCTTTCTTCGAACATCTTGGAAATTTTTTAAGGATGTGATTGTGGTTATGGGAGTTAGTCTCACTTCTGTATGACGATTTCTGATAGTAGAAGCACTATGCAAGTGATTATGATTGATTTTTATTTGTGCATCAATAATCATACTTCTAATGTATTTTGTTAGTCCTTTTATAACAACATCAAGAGAGAGAAAAACATGTTAAGGTGAAAAGATAGTGCGATAGAATTACATGTAAAATAGGTGTAAAAATACAAAGTTAAGAACAAAGTGAGTGGCATGGTTAAGGACAGATTTTAAGGACATAATAACAACAATAAGCGTAAGGACATAATAGTTACTTCCTTGAGTTGTTACACTCAGCTCATATAATCACACTTACACCCACACGAACACCCTGTTTTTTTGGTCACTACAGCTACAACGACAGTGTCTGATGATGATGATGAAATTTGTGCACGTGCAACATGGAACCCAATTGGTATCACAGTAGCTGGTGGCCGAGGACAAGGAAGTGCATTAGATCAGTTTAATGCTCCTGGAGCGTTATTTGTTGATAATGATCGTTCTGTGTATGTTGTTGATTCTCGCAATAATCGAGTCATGAAATGGGACTTTGGCGCGCGAAGTGGTACTGTTGTGGCTGGTGATGTTCAAGCAGGCAGTGGCAATAACCAATTGAGACGACCTAATGGACTCGTTATTGACAAAAAGAGTGCCCGGTTGTTGCTGTGCGACTTGGGAAATCAGCGTGTAGTTCAATGGTCTCTTGTTGCTAAAAATGGGCAAACAATAATATCCAATGTGTCGTGTATTGATCTTACGACGGACAATGAAGGCTCGTTGTACTTGTCCGAAAATGATGAATATCGTGTTTTAAAATGGCAAAGAGGCGCTACCGATAGTGAAATAGTAGCCGGTGGACATGGTAAAGGTTCAAGTTTGAACCAATTGTTTATGCCGTCGAATACATTCGTTGATCGCATTCACTCGGTATTCGTGACAGATTATTGGAACAATCGAGTAATGAAATGGCCTGTCGGAGCGAAACAAGGAATAATTGTTGCTGGCGGCAATGGCCAAGGAAATCGCACCGATCAATTGAGAAATCCTAGTGCAATTAAAGTCGATCGTTCAGGCACTATGTATATCGTTGATTCACTCAATCATCGAATTCTACGCTGGCATAAAGAAGCTACAACTGGAAATGTTATTGTTGGTACCCAACGATCTGGTACCACCGCAACTCAACTTTGGAATCCATCTGATCTGACTTTTGACCAGCAAGGAAATTTGTATGTTACCGATACTGCCAACAATCGAATTCAAATGTTTGCTATCAACAAGACTTTATGTTGAATGTTCTGTTCTCTCATTACTATTTAGTGGGAATAAATATTTACTACGAATGAAATTAGTAAGAAAATAGTGCTTAGAAACATTCTTTAGAAATCATTTAAACGTAAATTATCCTATGAAAATACCAAAAAATCAATGAATTAGATGCATTCAGTTACTTCTAGTGATGTCAGTAAGTGAATGTGGATAGTGGGTGTGGTTATTGTTTGAATTGTAGCTACATCTACACCCACACCCAACACTCACGCCTTCATTTTGAAGAGACAAACTGGTCGCTCTATAAGCGTTCAGTTGTTGTATTTATTGATCTCGAGTTGAATCGAATTGTTTCTTGCCATCATTTTAAAGCGTTTTCTTTCACTCGTAAATCAATGATCCTGTTTCTAGTTATCTTATAATGAGTGTTTCTCTAGAAAGTATTGCACACGTTCACAAGTGAATATGAACGAAAAAACACTCGTGTAAAATGTTCCGTTCGTATTTTACATTTCTGCATCATGCAACTCGTATTTTTTTCCAATGGCTCATGATCGACACTCTCCTTCCAGAAGTATGGTCTCAAACAAATACTGGCGATTCGTTTAACAGAACATAACAATAATGCATTAATTAAGAAAAGAAACAAGACGCAAAAAGAACCGATAACAGACTGTGAGTATGGGTGGAGTGTACATGTGCCTATGAAAATGGGTATACTTTTTAACAACTCACTCAGAATCATCCACACCCAAAGTCTATAATTTTTTAAGCAGATGAATTTCAATCCAATGTATTGTTTGTTTGAAAAGTAATAAGATATAAAAACTGGAATATTATTATTATTTCAACATAACGTTTAGAATAGTTCCATGTGAAACTATTCGGAACAAAAAATGCTTTTTCTTAAATTTTACTATTGTAATTACTGTTAAATTAAAATAAAGAATATAAACGCATTAAACTTACCGATTGTAAAATATAAAAAATGTTCTATCTACTGGTGCAAAAAATACTGATTAATCTTGATGACATGATGAGTAAAGTGATTTAAAGTGAAGAGGACATTTTCAAGATATATTGGTCAAGTGTTCATAATAGTCCTATTCTATGAAGCATATGTGTTCATGATTGCTCTGTATGGGATTAATCTGAACAAACGACGGAGCTTCTGGCAAAACAAGTGATGAATGAATTGTTAATGGTATTTCTTGAAAGTTTTTAGATAAGTATGTAGAAAACACTTCAAACTACGTGTTAATGTTTTTTTTTTTCTCAAAAAAACAAGAAATAAAAAATTTATTAAACTTTTAACTTCATTTGTTAAAAAAAAACGTTCAGAATAGCCTCTATCTACTTTATATTTTTATTTGTAACATGATAGCAAAAGCAACTTTAGAAGCAGCAAGTTAAAGCAAAAAAATAGTTCATTGTGTGTAATGAATGCGTAAACAAAATAGCAAGATGAATAAATATATAAAATATTCGCAAGCGTAAATAGATGGCATGCCACTATGAGTTGATGTTATTGATGGGCTAGATGATATGAATGAAGATGATGGAATAGATGAAGTTGATAGAATAGATGACGTTGATAAAATCGATGAATTAGTTGAATAATCTTCCGAACATTCACGTTCGAGTTGATTGTGAGGCAAATCTAAATTATCAGGATTGATATGATGATTAAATCTGAAGCAGTTAGCTAAATGTTGATATAAACCCTGACATACACACATGTAAACATCATCATAAAAGCAAGACAAATTTAAAAAGCGATTTTGACATGGTATATGATAATATTTAATGCGCTGAATAAGATGCATTTGTGTGATGTTTTCAATAAATATTTCATTTATAAATCGACAACGATCGGATGGATTAATTTTTCGAACAATAACTGATGAATATTCTATTCTTTCATTAGCAACCAAGTAGTACTGGTACGGCGAAAGTTCGACAAAAGCAATATCAAATGGATATGACCAATAACTAATAATTGAAGTATCATTTTCACATATTTTTGTGGGATTTTTGTTGTGCGTATATTGAGCACGATTGAAAAGGTAGATGAAATGAAAAAATACGGGTGGTTGTGAAAGGAAATTAAGATCGTTGTGAAATGAAAGAATAAACTTATTATCAGGTATTTCACATCTTGCTCCATAGAATCCTTTTCGGCAGATGCACATATATGGTCGATCAGATGCACTATATTCATCAGAAGGTATACATACGCCTCCATTTAAACATGGGACGTCTTGGCATACAGTTTTCGTTAATAAACATTGAGAACCAAACTTGTTAAAAGGGCATACACATATCGAACGATTGTCTGCTGTAATACCAGCACATAACGAATCACGTGAACAGGTGCATATATAAGGAGTAGTGCAGTATCGTCCAGTCCAACCTGTATTACATCGACAAAAACTAGTATGTTTCGGATCATTTAAATATTGAATACATTCACCATGAATACATTGAGGATTAGTACATGTTTGAACAATATTATTTGTATCTGGAATATTAAGTTGAACAGCAATACGTTCGACAGGTAAGAATGGAAATTTCAGTGGTATCAGTAGACTTCCTCGATAATATAATGTAACCATTTCATAAATGTCAATATGTACTGAATATTGTTTTGTAAGACTTTTGGGTCGAAGAGAATAAAGTAAATAGACATTGAATTTAACATATTGATCTCGCATAGGTAAATAAGACAGTTGTTCATATGAATGAATAATTCGTTCAACACTATCATCGATTAATGAAATGACAAGTACAAATAATGTGTGTCGAGATTTCAAAGATGCATTGATTTCCATAGTGAGACTAACACGTTGATTTTGATATTGACAACGATCGCCATAATAAGATGGTGGACAAAGACATGTTTTTGTTATTACATTCTTGTCTCTATCTAACACAACTTGTAAAGGAAGGCCACGGTGACAATGATGTTCATTTTCATCGATCATCGATAATTGTCCTATCATTTCATTTTGTTTCGATTTCTTTAACTGGACATCTGTTGGTTTTGATTTAATAGTGTCGTAGACATTTGCGTCCGATATTGTTTTAGTCTTTGAATTATCTGGATCATTTCGAAAGAAGTCTTTCGTGGTTGAGTTACAAAACTGTTCATCATCACCATTTTCACAGTGTTTTATCCCGTCACAAACATACTCCATGGATAAGCATATATCAGAGTCACCATTTTTGCAATAAAATTTTCTTGATTCCTTAAGACGATTTTTTATTGGACATAATGTTGGTTCATCGATATCGCCTAAACAATCAATAGTACCATCATTGGCTTTTTCAATAGGCAAACATATCCATTCATTTGTATTCGGTGAAACACATATATGATAATAAGATGGACATTTGATCAATGATGTTGGATCACAATCGACTTCATCAGCTCCATCAAGACAACTCCAAAAATCATCACATCGTGTATATGTATTATTGCATGGCCATTGTTCACAATTGGTTTCATCCGTATGATTTTGTCCATTAATCGTAATTGGTAAAAGATCGATCGAACGATCACAAATCGTTGAAAACGTAATTTGTCGTCTTTTTTTATTTAATTGTAGATCTTCATCATCGCACATACCGTATTCATCCATGTTACAATCACAAATGTGATTTTCAACTTGATTTCGGCGAATACATTTATTGTTTGTTTGACATTTGAAAAAGGTGTTAGTTTGATCTGTCAAACAAACTTCATCGATCGTACTTTGTTCTTCATCATCTTTATAATCACAATCTCGAATACCATCACCAACATAAGAATTTGGAATACATTTCGATGAATTTTTACATTGATACATAATTGAACTGTCACAAACTAAACTATTATGCACTATGCGATTACAATGACCAAGTTGTGAGTACACTAGCTGAATATAACTAGAATACCAATCTATTCCATTGAAATGAACCGATATTGGAAAATCTTTCGGACGACGACATGTAGTTCCTCTGAAGAACAAAAAGGTTACATTTGAATCAAATCCTCCACATAGTTGTTCATTATAACATATATATTCAGGTGGAATTTGTCCTATATCTGTCCAATTTATAGCGTATTTGATTGTATAAGCAAAGTAGATATGACCAAAAGCGATCGGAACTGTTGGATAATATAATATATTTGGACAAGTATTTTTTATAATTTCGATACACGTTTCATTTTGACAGAAATTCGAGCAAACTGGATTGTTATCGGTTGGAATTTTAGAATGACATTTGAATGCCAAAAGACAATCATGACTTATGGCTGGATCTGATACATCGGAAAACATTGCTTGTTCGATTCTTTCATTACGTTGATATCTACATGAACTTGTAAAAGGATGCATAAATTTGTTCATATCATGTTCACGCCATGAACAGACGATATCTTCGTTTGTTAATGTTGGTGCACGAGATTCATTATAAAACGAACTCGTTGATAAAGAAGCATATTGATCAGATCGATCAAGACATTCGAAACTGGTACCAATATTCACGAATCTTGGATGTATACATTGACCATTATCACATCGATATTCATCATCTGTGCATTTATTACTTATAAGTGGCCAACAATTTTCTTCATCAACACCATCAGTACAATCGAATTTTCCATCACATATTTCACTCCAATCTACACATATGGGAAAAGGGCCACGATTACATTGTAAATGAGTATAACATGTCAATGGTTCTAGTGCATAAGCATGCTGACGATAGTAAACATGAATAAGTTCATTTAATGTTGAATCAGAAATATTAAAATCCAATCGATATTGACACTGTGGACCAAATGCTGGTAAAGTACAATTGTAAAATATTTCTGTTCCCATCTCTGATAATACATTTCCAATTGAAAGTTGATACAGATACAGTTGATAACGTTCACTAGTATCTATCGGTGCTGACCATTGATGTAATTGTTTACTTGTAATATTTCGTCGACTGAGTTCAGCAAAAGTAAAGAGTGCACTAACATTAGTTTTTACAATAGACCATTTTGATGTCGATTCACTCATACAATAAGGTATGATGTCACGAGACCATTGATCTTTGCTTAAATCAAAATAAAGGCAATCATGTTGTTGGACAATATTGTCAGTATTTTTATCTATCCTATCGGTAAGATAAAGATTAATTTGAGGTAATGCAATCACCAACTTAAGGAAGAGAAACAAAATTAGATGTTTAACAAGCAACATTGGATTTATATTGCTAATCATTCAACTTCAATGTATCTGAAATAGAAGCTAGTAATCGATTATTTCGGTCACTTTTAGATGGATGAAATAAAAAAAAAACTATTTCAATTGAAAAGCGAGCGCGTTTGACTTACTTCTGTATTAGTGGCGTAGCCAGAAAAAAATCTAAGTAGAGGAGGTTAAATTCATTTTTTCCATAAGATTTAACTTATTGTAGGAGATTGAGGTCCTCTAGCATTCCTCTGAATACGCCACTATTCTGTATTCAGTTTTCAATTACAGCAAACTGTAATGAATAATATAGCAAGTGCACACGTATAAATATATATATACAAAACAATATTGTCTTAGAAAAAGAACAAATATGCAGAGAAAGAGAAGTAGTTAGGGAGTAAATAATAAGAGTGGAAAGAAAAATATTATAAAAACAACGATGTAAAGAGGAAGGTGATAACTCTTTTACTGAACAAAAAGAAATAGGCAATGGCATAGTTTTTTTTTCAAAACACTTTGTTAATAGGAACAAATAATGCTAAGCTACGTGTTAATAACATGAAATACTTTTTGTTATGCCTAGTCACATTATGTCTCCGTGTTTTGTTAATTATAAATATGTCATAGGATTTTGAATATCATTAATGTCAATAGATACGTATGGTGAAATTTTTTTTGTCTCGAAAATTATATACTGATTAAATAAGATTTCAATCAAATAATTCATCCTTCCAGCAGAAAAATCAATTATGATCAATGTAGGTTTTTGGCCAACAAAAAATGCATTTATTGTCAAAATCACTTCAAACTGAGATATTTTTATCTAAACTTGAAATCAAGAACTATATTGACTATATATGAGAGCGTTTATTGTAAAGATTATTTTATTTCACCTATTAAATATTCTTTTTTCTTTTAATATTATATTCACAGCTCTCTTTACTAATCTTAAGTAATCAATCTTACTGCAAACAAGACAACTAATAAATCCAGGTTTGACGTCAACACTAAAAAAAATCAGTCAAACATAATGTGTTCGTGATGGATTAGTCACAATTTATAATAAACTCAGTCGCTTAAATCAAAGTTTACTCTGTGATGAACAATATCTTTTGGTTCAGGAACGATGGTCACACTAATAATTTTCACTATAATACTTATCGAATCGTACTATGTTATCATCTTAACTGTTTCATGAGCGTTCTAATATAGCATAATATTTTCTACTTTTTTACTTGTAATAAAACTGTGCATCAGCGTAGCAATGGAAAAAGTCTCATTTTCGGTTTTAAGTGATTGAATTCTTCATGTCATCTTGATTTTTGGTGTGAGTGGGTGTAAATGCAAGTGAATGCAATTGTGAGTGGACGTGAATCTTCGATCTGTCACGTCGCTCATACCCGCACCCTCATTTTCTTAAGCATTCACTCCTTCTACGTGTGCCACACTGTTTTCAATTTGTTGACAACGCGGATAACAGAGCAATTTATTACGTTCCTTTTTCTTCTTCGAATAGTTTTATTTTCATGTACTCATTAGGAATCAAGCTTTAGTATGTAATGCATGATGAGTGAGCTAGATGATGGTTTTGCTTTCAGTTGTCCTCAACTTCAATAGATGTGTTTCTTCCAATGAAAATAAAGTCTAAATATGCAATAGATGTATCTATTTCTCGTGAATGTAAAGAAGCAATGTTAATTTAGAGATCGGTTAATTCAGTTGTCCAATTTATGATGATGTAGATGACATAAAAAAGTCAAGCTGAACTGATGGTGATTTAGTTGAACATTTAAGATGATTGACCTGATCAATGAATGGAAATGTTGATAAAGTTTTTCCGTTGAGTACTACACGTTGAACATAAATATTTTCAGGTGAATTATTATGAGCAATGATAGTTAATTTACATTGACCATCATTACGATGAATTGTAACACGATCGAAAGACGGACTTCCAAGTAGATAAATAGATGAACCAGTAAGAGGATAGAAACCCATACTTGCAAAGAGATACCATGCTGACAGTGTTCCATAATCATTGTTCCCTGGCAATTCATCAGGTTTTATCGTGTAAGTGTGATCAAGTATCCAACGTGAGTGTTTTTGAGTAAGATCAGATTGATTGGCACAGTTGAATTGCCAAACAGAAAAAAGATCATGCTTATTTCCTTGCCATTAATAAGGGTTAGGTAATACTGTCGATGGCCATTTTCTGCTACGTACAAAAAAAAGTATCAAGTTCTTGAACAAATGTTTCTGGACTATCGAATAGTTCAATGAGGCATGCCGTATTATGTGATACAAAAAAATCGATAGAGCCACACATTGCCTTCAACATAACGATTATCAAATGGATTAAGGTGTTCGATTTTATTTGATGAACGAAAAAAATCGCCGGTACTTTTTCGAGCACAGAAAAATTTTGTTTGATTATCGAATACATGTTCAAATCATCGTTATCGATTATAGTATTCTTGAGCTTCATCAACAAGCCCAGCAGCATACATGACATTGCCAATGGCTCAATCATCGTAAGTATAACTAAGCGTAAGTGATGCCGAGTGATGATCCATTTCATATGACACATATTGATATTTTATATAGGTCGGTGGATCAAAACGGCTATCATGTTGTTTGTACTTTATTAGCTACTTTTCTTAATGCTTCGATAACTTGAGTCATATTGAGATAAATATTATGCTCATATTTCATGATTAAATCACTTATTAAAATATCAGCATGTGAACCGATCATACAATTCGTATATCCATTGGCGAATGGTCATTTTGGTAAATCACCATCTTGTTCAACAATGAGCATAATTGAACGAATAATATCATTGGCTCGTTGTGAATCATGAAAAAGAATAAAAGGTATTTGTGTTCAGTGAACATCCCATATTGAGAAATCTGTATAAATATGTTTCATATTATCAGGTTTAGTATATATTTGACCATCGAAACCTAAATAGACACCATTTGACTCGTTCCATTGAGTCGGACTCGACAATGAATGAACAATCGCAGTATTGAATTTGATTACAGCTTCATGATTCCATTCAGCGCTGACCTAAAAAGTTTCGTAACTTTTTAGATATTCCTTTTTTTCTTACTAAGACATTGAACATACTTCAAAACTAGATATTTCATTGAGCCAATTTTATTGTACAAATTCATGAATAGAATCGAATGATTTTAATTGAGTTTGCATTTGTAAATTCGTTCGTGCTTGTTCAATTGAAATGAAACTCAAAGCTACATAGACTGTAGCTTGTTGTTGATCGACAGGTAAAATGACATAGGCACCAGATGAACATCTATCAATCATTGTTTATCCATGTGCTAGACGACGTTTGTCAAAACACCAAAGTCTGTTCAATTAGTAAATGTAATAATAAAATATGTTGTCATACCACCAAAACTTCTAGAAAAATTTCCTTCGAAAAAGATCGAACCAGTTATTTCATTCTTTTCCGAATCAATATGCACATGACTCCGATTACAAGCTGCTAGTGGTAGTGTATAACTACTATCAATGAGAATAATACGATGTTTTTTCTTGATATTATCAAATGAATATCGATGAATATCGACTTGCTTAGTAGCAGTTAATTCAACATTGATTCTATGGGTGTCAAGATAGACTTGATAGAAGTCAGGCTTGATTCGTTCACGTTCATGTGTAAATGCACTTCGATAGTCATTTCTAGTTGAAATCAGACGTTGTAGATGGTTATCACTATCGACTTGAACAGGAAAGATACCCATTTCACCATAGTCTTGAAGGCCGGCACCGAACGTATGTCTATGTGAGAAAACGTTTATATGTGTATCTGAATATTGATAACCGCCATAATGTTCAAATTTAATTGGAGGATCGAGTGTATCACTCGCATCAGAACTAAGACGAAGTGTACCATAGGGGCTTTGTGTGCCAAGAGGTAAACTTCCTGCACCATAATATACAGATTGAGCAGCGGAAAGCTGATGGTAGAGACTCTTGTTGTCAGAAAAAGTAGAATATACCACTGTTCGATCATATCTGATACTTCTAAACGAAATATCTTTCAAATAACCAGCATCAAATAGTGAGAAAAATCACCAAATGGCGACATTCTCAAAACAGATGTCGCATTTCTCTCTCAAATAAAGATACTAGATAAAACGCACTAATCCACCAAAAGTCATCGAAAAATCAAAAATTGATGACAAAGAACGCTGATGCTATTTACTCAAACTTAATAGAATTCGGAAAACTATCTAAAAAACGAGTTGAGAGAGCTTTTCTGTAAGTGTGAATGTGGGTGTTGAGTATAGGTTTGAGGATATCAGTTTGGGTGACAATCTTCTATTCCTAGGTGCCCACAACCATACCCCATCCACATCGTAGCTATAAACTGAGTTCAAAAAATTATTTGTCGCCAACAACCTAACGTACAACAACACGAACTATTAGATCAGGATAAGAGACAATGCAAACGAGCTGATATAAAACTAGGATTTTCAAATTTTATTAAAATATCTACATTTAAACGGTTTACTTAAATATAAAAAATTACAAATGAAAATATTAGTAAAAAGAGTTCGATTTTTATGTAAACGATGATGAATATTGTTAAAAACAAATGGGACCATCATCCCGCTCTTAAATATTTTTTCTTTTCCAAATTGAAGTTCCGTGCGCTACGATAAAGATGCTATTTTTCGTGTGTATGATTAAAATATTACAGAGTCTTTCTATTTTTTCTAGCAAACTAGAGTAGCTGATAAGAATGAAAAATTGCGACATCAGAGCTGAGTGCATAGAAAGAAACGATCCAGCTCAGAGTAAGTTTAGGAGACTTCATGTTCTTTTTTGTTCCATTGATGACTACTATTTTTTTAAATTTATTCAGATGAATATAAGAACGATCGCTTGATAATTGAAACTGCACGTAGAAGATATTTCTCTTCAGATCGAGAAAAAAACGTAAAATTATCAATAGCAGAAAGAAAAATGATAAAAATTAAAAACTCTTGCTAATCCTATATGAAATACGCTTTCTTTAAAGTTCAGATGAATAGATTATGATACGAAACACATAAGTTACATAGAGTAGTTCGATAAGAGTAAGATCCGTGGTCAACAAAGACTTAGGTTTTATTTATTCTACTAGCAACCTTAAGCATCGAACCAAAAAGTTAAACGATTGTTCAAATCATTGACAGAGCAAAAATTGAATTTGCCGATGGCAAAATAGCTGTCAACTGCGCATTCTTTTGGGTTTGTTTCATGAACGAGTCGCAACAACGTTCGAATATATTCATCATCGCGAGAAATTCCATCGTTGTATAAAATCATCCTTTGATAAAAAACAATAATGTATACCTTTTGATTGTGACTAATATGCAGAAACTGAAAAACTTTTCAATACTGTTAACTCAACATTCAGACTTGGAAGGAAATAGAAAACCATGAAAGAATGATGAGGATTTAAGATATGATTTTTGAACTGAGCACAAGTATTTCTGTATCGGATGATACGCATGCTATATGTACTATTTATTATTCTAAATGGTTGCCTTTCAAGCAAATCTCAGCAAGGCGGAAAACACAGACAAATTAGGTACTCTTTCAAATAAGATTACTTTTAGACTTTGAATTTCAAAGTCAAAGGAGTTATACTTTCAATGAATTTATAACATTCGCATCGAATAATTATTCTATGTCCTTCTTCTGTTATTTTATACGACTCATAATGCAGATTCACATGTGCACAACTGTTTCCTTTGACGAAAATTTATTGTATTTCTTCGCTTTCTAGAGAATATTGCTTTTAATTGTCTTGAATTAAAATATACGCATCGTTGATCATAGTCAGTTATCTTTTACTCTGCAAGTATATCTTGTCTTCTTCTATCACACTCAGCCTTTTAAAAATAAAATTGCAAATACTAAATTTATAACTACGAATAAATTACGATGTCAAATAGCTTTCGCGACTAAACACTGCAAGGTATCTATGTTGCAGACACTAGTGTTCAAACTTTCGAAAAAAGTAATGTTCCCATATAACTTATCGAATTTCAGAAATTATTTCGACAGAAATATTATTCAAATTAGAAATTTCCTTTAAAATTCTGTGTTTTGTTTTTAATCGATTCTGATGTAAACGCGAAAATTTTCTTTTTGCGGAGATATGAACAGATCTTGTTGCAGAACATGACAATGATTGATATAAGGAACAAAATTTTATATGGTTGCAATGATTTGAATTCTTTTGCGACCCGAAATAGATTTAAGGAATTGTCATCTTTTCGAGAGGAATCTAGTTGAGTTGTATATTTTTGCCAGAAATGTACAAATAAGTACATAAGTGAATCTATACGAAAAGATGGTCTTTAGATTGTCACTGCAATCCAAAGTGAATACTTTACATCGATTTGAAATTTTACAGGTATTTTTAACCATAACTAGTTTTGCATTTTTCTTGAATGCTTGGACAAAACAAGCAGTTGGACATAATGTGTCATGATAAAAAAAAGAAAATGAGATTTTAATAGAAGAGCTCTTAGGTCTAAACCAGCATTCATGCCTTAAGACTAAAAACTTTGATGACAAGACAGATACTTTCATCCTGCTACTCTATTCATGAAGTGAATACTAATAGAAGCACACAGAACGAATATTTTCCCAAAGTGGATGCGTTCAATAAACCCCAATAAATGTTATCAGTATAGTCATACTGACAGAAGATTCACTGGTAGTAAATTATCGTCAGCACATTTTAGTGTTTTCAATGAAACAGCACATATCTATCTAGACTTTACGTACACTATCATATGGATTGATGTCTTATTTGCATCAACTAGTGCGAGACAGTGCGCGTAAACTACAGTTATGTGAAAACCCGCTGAAGAAAACTTCACAATAACGTGAAAAAAGAGTTAATAAATTGTGATAGGGAAGCAGATATTGTGACTAAAGAATTCTTACATTGCACAAGCGAAGAGGAGAAACTTTCGGATCAATACATCACATGTACCAACTTTCTTTTTGTAAAATATAAAGTCTCGAGATCTAAATAAGCAAATAAAATTGTGTATCAATCGCCTCCACAACCTCCACATCCACCGTCACCACCGCAACCACCATCACCATCACCATCACCACAATCGTCACCACCACCATCACCGCCTCCATCATTGCTCCAAACATTACTCTTTACTACTTTACTGGCAGGTAACGAAGACTGAATAACTAATCTTGTTCGTGATACAAGTGCACAATTACTAGCATATTGTGATGTACTCAATTGATTTTTGTCAATATTTGTACCATATTCCGTCTTATAAATTTCTTTCCATCGTTCAGCTGTTCTCTTATATGCATTGCCTAGGGTATCCTTATCGATATCATCATTATGGTCGAGACGAAATCCACATAGGGCTTCTGTAGCTACTAAGTAAGAGTGATTTGCTCTCATATGTGTATGCCAAATCAAATCGATTTCGAATGTTGGCACAATCAATGATTCTTGATCGGCTAATTTCAAAAATGAAACATAATTTTGTACCATCTTTTCGAACTTATCATAACTTAAATAATTTAAGTCCATATAAGAGAAAGGATTCTTCTTGAATTTGTCAAGAAAATCTGCTTGACGAACTACAGCACTTGCTAAGTCAATGGAAGGAACAAATTTTTGTTTTTTTGTCGAATTACATGGTAGAAGCGAAGAACATTGTCGTTTCATATTAACCAGACTATATTTCCTGTCCATATATAGTCTATGAAATGAGCCATTGTATTCGTCTTTTTTATAAGCAATCGGATGTAGACAATGAACATGCCAAATACAGTTCAATTTCCATGGTAATTTTGCTCCGTCGAAGCGATCCAATAGATAGTAATTAGAACGGAATGTACAATAATCATCGATAGCTTGATCCAATTGTTTTCCTCTTTGCGTCATTTCTGGATTCTCAATAACTTTGCGAAGCAATTTAATATGGCGAAGAAACTCGGAAGCATACAATGTGTGATCTTGACCATCCTTTGTTTGAGTATGAACGCAATAAAATGGTAGAACAATTGAAGACGATGTTCCCATTGTTTGTCAATATTTCAGTTAATACCTTTGTAGTTATTGAATTCAATATGAGTATTGTTTCAAAGAACTACTCTAGTCGATGATCGCTTCTCGAAAGAAACTAATGTGTATCTTTAAAGGAAATAAAAAAATATTTGATTAAATATTCTCTCAAAGAGTATAAAAATCAAATTATTTAGTTTTCAAAGATCTCTATCAATGCACGTGAATCCTTATAGGCAAAATTTTGATTTCTAATTTATGAACATGAAACTCGAGTGTATTAGTACAAATCAAGATTTTTAGTTTGTAGTTTATTTTTATTATTTTAGACGATTAGGTAAATTATTTAATTTTAATCAAGTGAATTCACCAGTAATTGTTATCACTTTCAATTACTATTACGAAATATGAAAATTTTAAAATCGTAAAAAACTATCGACGATAGTATCTTAGTTCAACTCTGAATTCGATTGATTGCATACTAATTCTTTCTCAATTCGTCTGATACTCTATATATCCTCGCTTATCTTTCAGTTCAGAGTGTATGTTTTAGAAAGAATACTACTTATATTGGGTGAAAGGAAATAGTACGTTGGAAAAAAATGATCGTGTTTCACTATCATGCTTTTTGACAAAAGATTCGCTCAATCTGTCTGACATACTGTCTTTCGTAATCTTTGAGCTCTTTTTATGTAACACTCTTGGTAATGAGTGTGAAAGCATATGGAGAAAAAAAATAATAAGACTTGTCTTTTCACCGAACCACACATTGTGAGAAGCATATTGATATATCTGTGGCATTCTAAAACAGTTTATAGGGTTTCAGTGTGCTGGTTTTTGATCTATCAACGAATTGTGATAAATGTAAAAACATTTCTCTATCATGATTACAAGGATTCTATCGTGTTTAACATTTAAATTTAGTAGGAATTATGATGAAAATATTTTTATTTGCAGAACACTTTTATTATCATATAGTACTTTTTGTCAAAGTCATCGAATGGTAATGAATTGAAATATCCTTCTTTCAACAAATTTGCGTTGTATCTAAACGAAGAAAACGAAAATGTTAATATAAGTGTTGGAATGTAAATGATACATTGTTTGAACTATTCCTGAATCGCAATCAAAACTTCTTTTTAGTTACTTTCATTACCTACTTGTCGATTTCTGTCTATTTCCTTCGCGTGCAACGCGCACATACATATATACGTATATGTGTACGGCAGCATAAAGAGTGTGACACTTTCTTTGTGTTTGAGACTATTGGTTCTTCCCCTATTTCTGTCACTCGAGTATTGTTTTTCTACAGTCAATCACTAAAAGATGAAGAACAAAAAACAATGACATTGAGGTAGACAAACAAACTGTAAAAATATTACAGACAGAAAGAGAAAAAATGACTGATGGATAAGATGTTGACACGCTTTCTTTGCAATATGACATTTTTTCAATGTAAAAGTTATTTTCTATTTAAAGCAACATGTTTTTTTTTTATTTTTTGGGGTAGTACCGAAGTAATCTCAGACAGCAAAGAAATCGACGATGTACGCAAATCCTTTGAAATATAAGAACAGACAGCAAAATAAATAGTGTATCTACATGTCGAGTTATACTAT